GCCATTAAAACTTTATTGACAAAGGGAGGTGGCAGGCCAGATGTGGCCACCCCTGAGTCAATAGATGGGGGAGGAGGTCAGGGGAAGCGTCTCCAGGCCGCAGCGCCCGCGCAGACCGCGCCCCCCCGCCCCTCACCTCCGCGGGGGGTTGGTCACAGTCACACCCGGTCACTCATGGAAATGACGATGGTGGCGGAAGACCAGGACAGAGCTCCGCTGACCCGCTGGCCAGTGCGGGAGGCGGCTGCTGGGAGCAGGCATTTCATCTAGCGCGTCAGGTGAGAAGCCTCGCCGGCCTCCAAACGGGGATGTCAGAAAAGCGGTGGGAAATACAAGTGTATTTTTGAAATTGTAAACTGGACAGAGAAAGGGCCTGGGCAGGGGGCTCGGGGACTCGCATTCGTGCCTTACCTGGGGTATTAGCTTTTTATTGCTGCTAATAAATGACCTGAATTTTAGGGTTTGAAACAGCACCCATTTATCATCTCGTAGCTCTGCAGGCCCCGAATCCAGACAGGCCCTGCTGTCCTGTGCTCAGCGCCTGCCAGGTCGGAATTTGAGCTCTTACCTGGAGCGTCTGGGGGAGAATCCTCTTCTGGGCTACTTCCAGTTTTTGGCAGAGCCCTGTCCCACGTGGCTTTAAGACTGGGGACAACATCTCCTCTCCGGTTGTTGCCCAGGAATTGTTTTCAGCTTCTAGAGGCTTCCACCGTCCTTGTCACGTGGCCTCCCCCGGCTTCAAAGCATCAGTGACATGGGATTTTGTTTACGCCTCAAACCCCCTGACTGTCCCTTCTGCCTCCAGCCCGAGGACACTGTCCACGCTTCAGGGTCCATGTGGTTACGTTGGGCCGGTGACACCATCACCGCAGCGATTTCTCCTGAGTCACAGGTTCTGGGAAGAAGGGTGTGGACCCCAGAGCCCAGGACAGGACTTTTGGAATTGAGCACAGGTGTGCTCTGAGCAGCAAGAGTGCCTCCTCCTCACCCAGTGTCCCCAGGGAACCTGCCACGTGTCTCCTGGTGGCAATGTTAGAGTCAGACATCAAGAAGCAAGATTTATTTCCCAGTTAGAAGAGACCTCCCTGCACAGTAAATCCCCCCCCCCACGCCACACTCGGACAACAGCTGCTTACACATGTGCCTGATTTCTCTGGGGGGCGAGCAGCTTTCCCTGGGAGCCTGGGTCCCGGGGCGGTAGCCTATCCCAGCTGTTATTTGCATTTCCTCTCATCAGAATCATCAGCTCCTCGCAGAACACTGTTTACCAACTACCCCACCGCCTCCTGAAACTAACGCCCAGGCAGGTCGCCTCCTAGGGAGGCAATTCCACTCAGCAAGGGTAAACCTCAGAATTATTCTGGGATCCGTTGTTTAAGTTTTAATCAATGGCCCCAGAAAGATCTTGAAGTTTATTTTTTAAATGGGGGTGCGGAGGGAGTTTAATTGATGTGTGCATTTTTGAAGGAGCACCCAGCTTCCTCCCGAGGGACAGCCAGCTCTTCCACATGGGAGGTGCTGAAGAAACTCTGTAGCCTGCGTCGAAGGGCTCGGGGACAGTCCGACTTGACGGAGGTGGAATGGTTGTCATTAACAGCAACAGTAATGGCAGGAAAAGTAGCGCCAGCCCCCCTTGGCTGAATCCTTGGCCGGGCCAGTTTATCTGACACTTCATCACCAGCATCTCGTTTTATCTTCACCCTGTTTACGAACAGTCTGTTCCTTTGCTGCAAGGGATGGAACTAACAGTTTTTCTAGAATCTATCCTCTGGCTAGCCTTTTCCTCCTGATCCCCCTTCATCCTCGCACCGCCCCTGTGAGACTGAGTTTGTGTCCCCATCTCACAGCTGAGGAAGCAGAGGTTGGAGACACCCAGCCACCTGCCCAAGGCCACAGGGTCTGCAAGGGGAGTGCCCGGACTTGAACATGGGTCAGCCCGACTCAGCCCTGCTCTTTGCCCAGCCCACTCTGCCCTGAAGCCTCAGCCCTCCTCTGACTCAGGGAAGATAACCCAGTCTTTGGTGGACCTCTAAGGATAGTTTTTAAATGCGAATGTGGGGTTAGAGGGATTGTGAGTCATTTTTCCAGCTTTGTCCCCAAACTTAAAATGACAAGTGTCATCTAGGTAAAAATAAAATAAAAAATTGGAGCCACTTTCAAATGGAGTGGGAGCTGCCACCCCAAAGGAACTGCCTTGCACATCTAATACCTCAAACCTTTACAATGTTAAACTGGCAAGATAACCTTTGACTGGGCCTAAAGCAACATTGTGTCCTAAAGAACTGTTTGCAAAGGTAACAAGAAAGCAGATACTATGACTACCAGGCTGAAGATTAAAAACATTGTTTAAGATCAGCGTCACTGTGTTACCCTATCTGCACCAATAGCAGCGCCTTCCTGCTGTGGATGGAGTTGTCTCCTTCCCTTTCTCATAAACACCCATCACTTTTGTCTCCTAATTGGAAAATTTGGGCTTCCGTCTGAATTAGTACGTCCCGAATGGCTAAATTGATCTCAAATAAATGCTGTTGCCTCTGACTTTGAGAAGTCCTTTTCTTTTTAGGTTACTACGTGGAATTTGGGTCCAGCTTCCTGAAGGGTGTTCAGGATGTTTCCCTGGAAAAGGGCTCTGCTCCTTCTGAGGAAGCCGGGGTGACTCAGGGGAATGTCCCAGAACCCTGGAACTCTTCAGAGCCCGTGGGGAATCCTCTGGGCTCGCATGTAAATGATGACTAGCAGGTGGGTCAATTTAGAAATAACCTGGATTTGTTATCTATTGCTGAGTGACAAATTCCCCCCAAACTTAGTGGCCTAAAACTCTCTGTGATCTCACAGCTCCTGTGGGGCAGGAGTCCAGGTGCAGCTGAGCTGGGTCTTCTGGGCCAGCGTCTCTCACATGTTGTGGGCGCCATGAGGCTTCCCTGGGAAGGACTGAGATTGCTGGTGGGGTTGGGATTGCTGGTGGGATTGTGTTCCCTGCCAGCTATTAGATGAAGACCTCACTCAGGTCCTCATGAGCTGTTGGACGTGGTTTCCCTTCCTTCCTTGTCATGTGGGCATCTCCGTAGAGTCTCAGGACTTGGCAGCTGGCTTCATCAAAGAGAGTAAGAGGAGGACAGGAAAGGAAGGGTCAAGGGAGGAAAGGAGGGAAAGTGGGGAGGAGAGGGGAGATGGATGCAAGATGGATGTCATAGTCTTTTGTAACCTAATCTGAGAAGTGGCTTCCGGTCACTTTTGCCACATTCTATTCTTGGAAAAGAGTCACTAGGTCCTGCCCACACCCAAGGGGAGGGGACTACACATTCACACACTTGGTGGCAAAACCTGAAACAAACTGGACAAGTGGCTCCTTGGAGTCTTGATTCCATTTAAGGTGACTATACATGTTTTGCTACAAAAATCATTAATGGATTTAATTTTGTGGGGATGGCTGCCCCAGACTTTGCCAGAAGGGTTATGTAATATACAGAAGATGTACTTTTCAAAAAATCTACAAAATTCTAAATTCTCAGACACATCTGGTCAGAGGCTTTGGACACTTGAAGTCCAGCATCCACTGGGACATTCATCCTCAGGTGTGTTTGAATGCGTAAGGCTTGTGTTTTTCAATAGTTTTATTCAATCATGTCATCATTTTCTTATCACTCACCCGAGGAGTTTCTAATCTGTCCTGGACTGAGGTGTGTTCGTGACAGAATCCATCCCGAACCCTCAGCCAAATGACATTCTGCATCATTTCAGAGGCAACTCATTGTAAGGCCCGCTGGAGGCTCGTTGCTGTGACGTTACCTTGGGGTACCTGGGATCGCCAGCCTCGTCTCGACCTTGGGAACGTTGTGGTATTTTACAGTGTGTGGTGACATTTATCCCATTTAAACACCCACAAAGAGGTTAATTTCCATAGATTAAATGTCAAGTTTGAAACTGTCCAGGGTAATTGAATCTTTGAGTGTTGTCTGCTTCCATTCTCAGCTGAGGCCATTGACGGGAGGCTGCTGCTCTGTTATGAGCCCCTGAGTGTGGCCCAAATTACTGAGGTCAGACTGAGTCCCGGGGATTGGTGGGGGGAGGGGGTCCTGCCAGCCCTGCCCACCCCGTGCTTGAGGGAGGCACCGCCCTCTGCTGCTCGGAGACAAAGACAAACCGGCTTCCACAGGCTGCCCACACTCTGCACTCCCCTACTCTCTGGGGACAGGTGGAGGGGCCTGTGGCCATCCTGGCTTTTCCTGTGGTGCCCTTGGCCAGCTGGACCCCTCGCTCCCCACCTCCCCTCCGTTTGTAGTACCTGGAGCAAAGCCAGGCAGGGTCCAAGGGGTTGATGTCAACTGTCCACCAGAGGAAGGAGAATGGCCTGGTTTGCAGCTCGGCTGCTTCTGTGTGTGATGGGATGGTGGGGATGGGAGAGCAGGGAGGTTGTGTGCAGAGCCCGTGGGGACCATTCCTGTCCTGGAAACCTCTGCTCATTGGCAAATCTCGGGCTGTTGACATTGCAAATCTCCCGGGAAAGAAAAGTCAGGGCCCTCCTAGTGCGTTACTCCTCCTGAGAAGCAGGCCTGGCGACATCTGGGCACAGAAACACCGGGTTCCCAATCTCGTTACAAACAGTGGTGGTGAGAGGTGGGGTTGTAAACACATTAAAGGACCTAAACAAATATCTTTAAAATTAAATCACATTGTTTTTTTTTAAAGCCATACTTACAAATTCCCAAGAGCATCAAAAAACAAACAAAAACACACAAAACAACCACCACCAGAGAATCAATTTTGCCTTATTTATTCTATTAGCCAAGAATGAGTGTTATGGAATGTTCCAGAAGGGAGGAATTGATGACTTGAAAATGTCAAAGGGCTATTCTGTGTTCTTTGCAATATCCCATGAGCAACTGTGAAGGGGAGCTAGGCCCGCAGAGGGCCCGGGAGCTTTCTCTCTTTCTCGGCATGGGCGCCAGGTGCCTGGCGGCCGCCCTGCACTGCCCTGGCGGCCCGAGTCCAGTCTGGGCTCAGTGGATGCCTTGCTTCGGCCAGCCCAGCTCCTTGGCGTATGCCCCCTTGCAGCTTCTGATCTCGTCACAGTGCTGCAGACACTTGTTCAGGCCCGGCACCCCGGACCTCCAGCCAATGAAGCCCTGGGTGGTCTTTGGGACCGGGGGCGACGGAAGGACCTGGAATGGAGACGCAGGGGGTTAGTCACCTTGGGCTGCAGTGAGGTGAGGAGTGTCCCCAGAGGCACCAGGATCAGCACATGAGGCCTGGTGTGGAAAGGACAGACAGCAAAGCCAGGGTCCTACGGAAGGAAGGCTCCCTTTTCAACAGGCCACCCAGAGACTCACGCCGTCCCTGAAAGTCATGCTCACCACACACATTTCTTTATCTCGGTTGGTTCATGACCTCCAGTAAAATTATTCTTATTTGGTAAAAGAGCAAAAAGGGGGGAAAAGTAAGGTGCAGAAATATCAAACCCTGCCCTTTATAAACTATATGACCATATTGTCAGGTGGTGTCCTGGTCGTTACAAACCTTTTGGACTTGCTTAGGAAGCTTTATGATGTGTACACACACACATGTGCACGCACACACACACGCAAACATGCACACACAAGCGCACACGCACACATACATGTGCACTGTGGGACCACAGGAATGAAAAACAATTGAACATAAGTAAAGTCCAAAAGGAAAACGGGATTCTATCTGAAAAAAACAAAACAAAACCCACAATTTCATTAGGCAGTTCCTTGGACAGACTTGACATTTTTGGAACATGAGTGTAAATGTTTGGGCAGTTTCCCCTCCATGTGAAGTGATCGCCTGTTCTCCTCTCACGGGGTGATCTGAGCGGAGAAAGCAGGGAGGAGCATTTGTTCTAACAGAGGAGCGGAGATGAAGGGGTTTAATATGCTTGGGGCTGTGAGTTCACGCTTGGCTCCCAGCATCTTGGCGCAGGCCCCGGAGGGCGAGGCGGTCCTGGTGGGCCCTCTGCCACCGGCAGGTAAAGCCCCTTAACATAAGTTCTTGATGAAGAATTAAAATTAATCTCCTGAGAAGCCACATGCAGGGAGGGTCAGCAATAAATGCCAGAGGGGCCACAGTTTCCCAGAGCCAGCCATGGGTGGAACTGTCCCAGACGGGCCCTTGGGAACACACAGACTAGCATTCAAGCCTCTCTCCAACTTGGAAAAGAAATGCAACCGAAAACCACCTGGGGGGCACATTCCACCCACCAGAGTGGCAAAGGAATGAAAGTAGCACCCTTAACAAGGGCATCCTGGGAGAGCAGGGTGGCTCCTCTGTGGAGGGCCGTGTTGCCATCGTCTGCGAAAGTGGAGGTAACGTCACCCACTCCTCGCCACCTTTGTCCTGAGTTTTATCCCCTGTTCCCATCAGGACACAGAACTGCTTTCTCTGCAGCTGAGCAGAGGGCAGAATCCAAGGCGAGAATGCCAGGCCCATGAGAAGAGGCCGGGGACCTAAGGGGCTCAGCAATTTCTAGCCTCTGGCCCGCCTCCACAGCTGATGGGTCTCAGGTGGGAATGCCATCTGTCTTCTCCCCTCTGGGGCTGTCCTGTCACTCACTCAGCAACCAGGCTGATCTTTAAAAAGGCAACCTCAACGTGCCACGGCCCTGCTTCCCATTGTCGGTGGGGCTCAAGTCCCAACCGCTTTCTCTGGCCACCGAGGTCCGGTGGGAACCGGCCCTGCCCGCTTCTCCATTCACACCCCTTCCTCCCACCCCCACCCCACCTCAGCTCACCAGGCTCCCGCCACATCAGCATCCCTTGCTGCTCCTGAAACAATGTCAACTTTGTTCTGCCTCAGGGCTCCCACACATGCTGTTCCCTTTGCCGGGATGCTTTTCTCTGGGCCGGCTCCTCATCATTCTTCAGTCCGCAGCTCCACAGGGAGCCTTTCGTGACACCCCCTCTTCCCTGTCTTCCAGCGTCACCTGTCTCTTTCCTCCATGGCATCCGGCACAGTGTATAACAATTTTGCTGATTTTCTTGTTTCACGTGGGTGCCCCCAACCCACACGCGTGGGCTGGAGCCTCGACTCCACCGCACTGTTGCCCAGCCGAGCACCTGGCACCTCCTCACGGCTAACAGCCACTGGCACGCTCTCCCTGAAGGTGCGGGGCACCTTCCAGGTCCTTCAGCCTCTTCCCACTGGACCTGGCGCTGCTCCCTGAAGTTGGTGCTTTCCCGGGCCCCCACTGTACGAAGTGGAAGCAGAGACGCAGGGAGGTCGAGCCTCTCACCCAGGACCACAAGGGGCTGAGTGGCCGGCCCGCCTTTTCCCGCCCGCGCCCCTGCCCAGTCCCGGGAAGTGCTTGCTGAAGAGTGGATGGAGCCCCTCATTTTCCCGGCCCCCGCGCGTCTCCAGAGCAGGAGGCAGAGGCTCTCGGAGGGTAGAGACCGTAGCCTGATGTGTGGGTGCGGGAGGCCCGGAGACTGCGCTCCCCGCTGCCCCGGTCGCTGAGCTCTTACCTTGGGCGGCTGGCTTTGTGCACCCGCAGCAAACACCTCTTCCAGGGGCCTTATTTCTCACTTAGGAAACCAAGGATCTAAAAACGACTTTGCAAACCTTGATGTATTTCTCCACCGGGGTCACTGGCCGGATGTGGAAACTCTGGGGAAGCTCGATTCTGGGCTTTGGGGTCGGGGGCTCTTCCTCAGACTTGACCAACTGAAACACACCCCAGAGGCGGGAAAGCCCGGGCACATGGGTGAGAAGCTGCCCCCCGCAGTTAGAAAGGGGCAGCAGGGGCCTCACAGGCAGCTGACTGCTGTGCCCACCTGCTGCTGGTGCAGCCGGCTCACCTATATTCCCCGAAGTAAGCTGAGAAAACTTTACAGGTTAGGGGCTCAAATTAAAGAATGCCAGTGAGGTTCCAGGGCCAACCTTTAAAATACCAGAGAAGAGGTCCCCATTCCTCCTTTAAATTTTTAATGCAATTCTGAACTCTTTGAAAAGTCAATTTAATTACATATAAAGAATATTAATATAGAATCTTTTATGCATATTATATTAATAAGGACTCATTTTATGCATAAAGATTCAAATTGCACAATTCTCTAAGTATTAAAAAACTCGTTAAGAATGGCATAATTTCGCCCAGCTGGTATGGCTCAGTGGTTGTGTCTCGACCCATGAACCTGGAGGTCACAGTTGGAGTCCAGTCAGGGCACACATACGTCCAGGTTGCAGGCTTGGTCCCCAGTAGGGGGCGTGATTCTCTGCATCATTGATGTTTCCTCTCTCTCTCTCTCTCTCTCTGAAATCAATTAAAAAAAGAAAAAAAAGAATGGCATAATTTCAAAGCTTAGTGGGATGGGGCAAGTTACAAATGGGGTTGGTGCCACCTTGATTCAGGATCGTTTTGATTATTCTGAATTAGGCAACTCTTATCTGGTTCTGCAGCCTTCCAGAGAAGCCTTCCAGTGGCTTCCTTGTGTAGCGTCCTGGAGACAGCTTAAAAGCGTGGAGACCAGCATTTTGAGGGCCTGAGTGGTGTTTTATAAATCCGAGCCACTATTCCAGGCTTATTTAAACACCTGGATGTCTGGACTTGAACAGCTGGAAAAGGCAGTTGGCCTCTCTGCATGGTAGCCCTCCTCTGGGCTGATGGTGGCTGCATCTGGACAGGGGCAGTGGTCTCTTTGCTGGGGTCCCTGCCAGTCCCTATTCATGATTATGCCTGGCCCTTTCCCATTTCTGTTTCTTATCTCGTTTAGGACATACCAAGATATTTTCCTAATGAGCCCTGGTATGTTAACTCTGCCTCACCATGTCATTCCATCGCTCCTCACAGTCACTCAGCCAGGCCAGTGAGGACTATCACCCCATTTTACAGATGGCAAGGCTGAGCCAAGTGGCCCTGAACTCAGACAGACCAGCCTCCTCCCCATGCTCCTGTTTATGAACTGTGTGACTTGGCACTTCTTTACTCTCAGTTTCCTACTTTGTAAAATGGGCAGAAGAGAGCACACCCTCCGCACAGGGGCTGTTGTAGGGGGAAAGTAAGCTGCCTCAGTGCAGCAGCCAGGACCTGCCTGGCACGTAGCGAAAGCTCAGTAAGTTCGGGAAAGGAAGGAGCCTTCAGGGTTCAGAGGCGGCCGTCTTTGCCTGCCACACGCTCTTTAATTTTATTCTTGCAAATTATACACTTCATAACCATTTATTCTTGGAAATGATCGATCCTATTACCTCTGGGCTCATAAAATTTATATTTACCTCTTCGAGGGGAGTTGTTAAGAATCCCCAGTTCTGGGCCCAGTTTTGCCGTGCTTCGGTCTCAGCCTTCAGGCGGTATCTCCTAAAACAGAAAGTTCCTAAGTACTGGATAACATCTAAAAGGTTAAAGCAGCGAACCCCAAAGGGCATTTGTTACTGAATGAGGTTCTGTGCCGGGAGGGAGCAAGTCCCTGGTGCCAGAACCTCACACTCGCGTGCGGGAGGCAGGTACCTGCAGAAGCACAGGTGCTGGCTGTCTGTCAGATCAGGGGCTGACTCTGCCTGAGGTGCCATCTAGGTACTTATTTTAGAGGCCATGTGACCCACAATGACTGGCTTGTGTTAAACCATTAAGGAAGCTCTTAGTAAGTACCTTTGTTCTCAGGTCACGGGCCAGGGTGGGGTGAGTGAAGCACCTGGGGTGCAAAATTTGAGGAGGCACCCACTCCCAGGTTCCTGCAAGGGCAGAGCCAGGACTTACATGATCCTGAGCTCCAGCCCTCACGTGCCCCGCCCTGCTCTTGCTGCAAGGTAAGCAGCTGAGTTGAGTTGATATCAAAGAGTGGGTGTGTAAACATTTATTCATTTTGATTTTCAAGTTTCTTTTCCTATTTTGGAATTAATATCTGCACCCCCTTCTCCCTTATGATACCTCAACAGTGTCAGAAGCCCTGGCCAAGCCCTTTGTCCTGGGCCCTGAGCATCTACAGCAAAGTCTACTTCCAATGGAGATGTAACATGGGCCAAAAAAGGAGCCATACATGGAATGTTGAATTTTCTAGTAGCCACATTAATGCAAGTAGAAGTGAACAGGTGAACTTAATTTTAACATTACTTCTTTTTTTTTTGGTGTGAAATCTTCAAAATCTGGTATTTTACATTTATAGTTCATCCCAATTTGGAACAGTTCCATTTCAACTGCTCAGTGGCCACTTTGGACATTGGACATTGGACAGAACAGTCTAAGGGCTTCGCTGGCTCTGTTCACATAGGAAGGGCCATCTGATTTGGGTCTTGAAGGATGAGTAGGAGTTTATCTGGTAGAGAAGGGAGGAAAGGGCATTCTAGGCAGTGGGAATAGACCCTGCTATGGTAATATCTCCCATTGGGGGTACTTGCATAAAGATAAGATTTAAACAAAATTAATTGTGTATTTTATGCCAAATAATACTGGATTTCCATTTTCAAGAGTGATATAAAGTTTCCTATAAAAAATAAATTTATTAAGTGAAACTAAGCCAGTTTAAGAAAAAATATTAAGTGACTACTATAGGCTTAAAATGTGAAGTCAGCCCTGGCCAGTGTTGCTCAGTAGTTAGAGCACCAGCCGCACACTGAAGGGTTATGGGTCGGATCCCCAGTCAAGGGCATGTACCTCGGTTGCAAGTTCAATCCCCAACTCCCGGGCGCGTTCGGCAGACAACCAATTGATGTGTCTCTCTCACGTCAATGTCTTTGTCTCTGTTTCTGTCTCTGTCTCTGTCTCTGTCTCTGTCTCTGTCTCTCTCTTTCCCTCTCTCTCTCCCTTTCCCTACCAGTCTGTCTAAAAATCAATGGGAAAAATATGCTCAGGTGAGAATTAACAACAACAACGAAACGGCGAAAGTCATAGAGATGACAAACAGGATAACTGAAGTTTAAGAGGCAAACAATTACGGTTTCTTGTTACTCAAATTTACTTATTGGCATCTAAACTTTTAACTTCCCATATTGGTTAAAACTTCAAAGAGATGGAATAATGTTTAGCAGTCAGAGAGAATGCCAAACAAAAACAACCAGGACACGTCTGCTGAACATAAATCTTATAGAAAATGGACCTATTCTTTAAATTAAAATTTCTTATTACTTATTATCTAGGAAATTTCTTATTGGCCAGGAAAAGCAAGAGAGGATATAAAGTGTATAGGTGTCTCTCATTGAAATTGAACAAATATTAAGATTTTTGTTTGCTTTTAAAAAAATTCGGTAAATCTTAAAAATAAGAACACATCAGTCGCTCTAAAGCAAAGCTTTGCGGGTGGTTGTGGAGCGGGATGTAAAATCTTTCAGACCCCTGTGGGAGCCTAGGAGAAGCCTGAGCATGAAAGGCCCCTGTGGACCGCGTGGCCCTCTCGTCGCCCCCTCTCCTCGAGGCCCCTGACCACCTCCAGGACTCGGGAAGCTGAGGTCGCCAGGTGTGCACGCTCGGGGGGAGCGGCCGGGCGCCGCGTCGCCGGGTCCCCCGTTACCAGATCTGGTCCTGGGCCACGAGGTTCATGCGCTCGGCCTCGGCGGTGCTGATGGGTTTCTGCGCCATTGGCCCTGGGGTCCCGGTCGCCCGTGGAACCCGCGCCGCGGCTCCGCGTCTGGCGTCGCCCAGGAGACT